CGCGTCACCCCGAGTCCTTCGCGGGGCTACATCACGCAACCCCAAGTACCCCTTCATGTTTACCTCTGAAGCCTGTTCCTCTTGGAGGCACATTCTTCCCAAATCTTAGCATATCGATGAGGTCGGAGAAAATTAGGTCGGACGAAACCGAGGTCGGAAAGCACTTCTTTAGGGGATTTTAGAAAAATCACCAGGTCGGAGAAAAATAGGTCGAACAATCTAAATACACCTGGCGAACCGCGTGGAGCACGGCATCTGGGTTAGCGAACGGGATCAACCCCGTGGACGCTGCGTCCAGCCCAGGCGGGCGGCGCCCCTGACCGCCTTCACTTCACTTGCACTCCGCGGCTACCACTTTGGTCACACGTCATAAATCCCACGATAGAGCAACGCGCCGATGGGATGCGCTAATGAGTCTCGCGAATGTTCTCCCTTGCTGCTTTAGGCACGGCTTGTAATGCTCGCCGCTGTTCGCCCGCAGAGACGCTGGCTTGGCGGGCCCAGATCCGTGATGATGTCCGCCCCCACCTCCGCCCCCGCGAGCGGGCCCGGCCGGGGGCGGCGCTGGGGCTGGCTGCCGTGGAGAGACGCCCTCCTGGGGGCGGCGCTGCTGCTCCTGCTGGTCGGGGGCGGGCCCGGGGGCGGGCCCCTCGGGGCGGCGGGGCAGAGCGCGCAGGCCGCGGTCACATGCCCCACCGAGGAGGAGATCTCGCCGTGCCGCTGCAGCCTGCGAGGCGACGAGATACAGATATGGTAAGTCGGCCGCCAGCCTCTCCCCTCCTCACAGAGCAGCAGGACGCTGACTGTTGCTGACTGTCCCCGTGTTGCACCTGCAGGTGCAGCCACAGCGAGCTGCCCGCGGTGCTGGCGGCGCTGCGCAACGTGGCGCGGCTGCTGCCCACGCGCGCGCTGGACGAGCTCATCCTCGAGAACAACGCGTGGACTTCTCTGGGCGGGTCCGCGCTGGCGGGGCCCACGGGGCTACGCGTGTCAAGACTGATGCTGCGTGACAACGGCCTGGAGACGGTACGTAGTGTGGAGATCATGCTCACTGGAAGCAATCTCGCGCCATTGTATGTCAAACAAAAACTTTGCTGAGCTCTGCAGGTGGCGGCGACGTGGCTGGCGGGCCTGGAGGACTCGCTGCTCGAACTGTTCCTGGTCGAGCCGCTGCTCAGGGCCTTCCCGGACGACTCTCTCATCCCGTTCAAGCGACTCGAAGCCGTGACGCTGCAGTGCGGGGAGATGCAGCGTCTGCCGCGCCTGGCCGGCCTGCCCCGCCTCCGCTACGTGCTCGTCCAGTCCGCCATGCTGTGGGAGCTTCCCCCGGGCCACCTCGGCAACCTGCCCTATCTGGAGCAGCTGCACATCGTGAGTGCCCCCGCTCTGTGTTAGCCACCGTAGGCTCGACAGACTGAGCTCCAGCCTCTCTATCCTGGCCCTGGTGTCTCTTTGCTCAGGTGTCGTCGCCGAGGCTCGCCTCCCTGGACGCCGGCGCGGTGAGCGACCTTCCTCGCCTCTCCTCCGTCAACATCTCCGACTCCGGCCTGACGTGGATCCACCCGCGCGCGCTGCAGCGGCTGCCCGCGCTGTCCGAGGTGACGCTCCGCGCCAACAAGCTCTCGGACGCGGCCATGGTGGGGCGCGCGCTCAGCGACCTGCCCTCGCTCGCCGTGGTGCAGCTCAACGACAACCAGCTCGAGATCCTGCCTTCCGCCTCCTTCGCCGACCTGCCCGCGCTCCGGGAGCTGTCCCTGGCCGGCAACCGCATCATTGAACTGCAGCACGGTGCCTTCCAGCGGGTGCCCGCGCTGCGCACCCTCGACCTCAGCCGCAACCAGGTCCGCGTCATACACCCAGAGGCCTTCCTACAAGTGAGTGAAAACGACGCATACAGACCACGAAAGATAGACACACTGTGGATATGCGGGCAAGTTTAAAATGAAACCCTTTTCCTCCTTAGCACTCGTCTTCCAATATCGACCAGCTCTATCTTCAAGAGAACGCTCTCGAAACGGCGGATGCGATTCGGTCCGTGCTGGACGCTCTACCAAGACTGCGATTCCTTGATGTGTCCGACAACCGCATAGTGGAGGTGAGTGTGAAGGGGGCTTCGCGTCCCGCGTCGCGCTCGCGTCGCGTCCGTCTTCTTACGTGCTTGCTCGCGCCCTCAGATTGGCATGGGCGGCCTGGGCCGCGGCCACGCCGCGCTGGAGCGGCTGCACCTGGACCGGAACCGCGTGCACCGGGTGTTCCGGGACTCGTTCAACAACATGCCGGCCCTCAGGGAGCTGCGCCTGTCCCACAACATGCTGAGCAACAACCTGGACCAGCCCTATTGGAACCTGCCGGCGCTCAAGGTGAGCGAGCGCTGTCATTGTAAATTGTACTAGTGTCCGTTCAGGTCGTCCAATAAGTACTCAGCGAAACGACAAATATACTGTTCTGATTACGAACTTGATCACCGCCGCCTCCCTGACACCGCAGGGCCTGGACCTCTCCTACAACCAGTTCCGACGCTGCGACCCCCGCCTGCTCGCCAACCTGCCGTCGCTGCGCCGCCTAGACCTGAGTGGCAACAACATCGCGCACGTCGACCCGGGCTCCTTCCTCAACACGCCCGCCCTGGAGCACGTCAACCTGAGTTCCAACGCGCTGGCCGTCCTGTCACCCGCCACCTTCCGCATGCTGCTCAATCTGTTCGAGCTTGACGTCGGGCGGAACCGCCTGAACCACATGGTGCCGGGGCTGCCGCCGGGCGTCGAGTACCTGCGCATGCCCATGAACCAGGTGACGGTGCTGCCGCCGCCCACCTCCCAGGACATGAACCTGCCCGCCCTCCGCTTCCTGGACCTGTCCAACAACGGCCTGAAGCGCGTGCCGGCGGACTCGTTCCGCCAGATGCCCGGCCTGCAGCAGCTCCTGCTCTCCGGCAACGCCCTGCAGACCCTGGAGACGGGCGCCCTCCAGGGCCTCAACCGCCTGGAGCGGCTGGAGGTGCGCAGCAACCGCCTGACGTCGCTGCTGCCGCGCAGCCTCCAGGACCTGCGCCTGCTGCGGGAGCTGGACCTGCGTGGCAACCGCATGGAGTCGCTGCCCGGCGACGTGCTCCAGGACGCGTCCAGCCTGCAGACGCTCGACCTGTCGCGCAACCAGCTGGCCAGCATCGAGCCGGACGCCATGAGGGGCAACAGGTGAGTGTACCGGATGGTTAAGAGAAGACGCAGGAGCGCGCGGGTTTGCCTACCCACTCTGCCCGTAAGGCGCCATGGCCCATTGGGTAGGCAAACCCGCTCGCTCCTGCGGCTTTTCTGAATCACCCGGTACGAGGAGGAGGAGGTTAATGGTCGCCGAAGCCATAGCCCCAGCCGCGGATTCGGGCCACGGCCGCACCACGCCGTGCAAAGATCGCGACCTAGGCCAACAGTTCGCTAAAGCGGCGTGGCGAAGCGCATTTTCGCGCCAGGTTTAGAGCTCAGTTCCTCTTTTACGGCCCAATCATAGATTGAGTCAGGCGCGCGGGCCCAGCGCGGCGTGGTGCGGGGCGGGACGGGAAAGGAATTATCAGCCCCGCCCGCCCCGCCGTGCTGGCGTGGCGAAGCCGGCGAAGCACCGACAGAGTGGATAAAGAGATTTCACGGCCCATTGAAGCCGCCAAGTCGAGTTCCGCGGAGCATTCTCGTCGTCTGCTCGACCAACCGAAGAGTAAAAACGTCAAGGCAACTGATGCAGAGCAGCCGCACACATGTGGGGTGAAGTGAAGGGTCTTCCCTCCTCCCCTGGCGACTGGCGAGCCCACTGTAACTAACTGGAAACTTTGCTGATCTAAGGAACCTGGAAGTGCTCCGCGCCTCGCACAACGCGCTGCCCAACATCCCGTCGGCGCTGCTGCACCTGTCCTCGCTGCGCGTGCTGGACCTGTCGCACAACCGCGTCCGCGAGCTGCCGCCCGGGGCGCTCACGGCCCTGGGCAGCCTGCAAGAGCTGCGCCTCGCCAAGAACAAGCTGCGCGAGCTCAAGGCCGGCGCCGTGGAGAGGCTGCCGCGCCTGCACCTGCTCGACCTGGACAGCAACGAGCTTCACAACCTGCAGGCGCGTTCGGTGAGGACCATCAAACAACTGGGG